AAGAAGAAAATCGTAACGGGAAAACGGCAAGTAGGTGCATGTTTTTCGATCATTTTGTTGTTCTCGTGGACGTTGGCCTTGAGTCAATAAGTAATATGCAAGAGGTAAAAGTGGGGTAGTGAACTTGCCTGTTGCCACGAAACTAGTTATCCAAGAATGTAATAAGCAGATATACCGGTGCCGTGGAAATCATATGACACGCATGGACACACATTGAACACGGTCATTGCTCAATGTGCCATGTCCTCCTATAAACATACGGACCGTTTTATTTTAGGTTGATCTACCCACATGTTTACGTCGATGACTATACTTGATGTTGGTAAAGCAATATTGCACCAAGGATGCGATTGTAGCATCAAGGATGCGATTTCATTTCATGTCATTTGTGACACATAATCAAATATTTTCCATTTCTAATTTTATGCAGAGGGCTCATTAATCCTCAAGGATGCGATTTCATTTCATATCCTTGGTGACTCAGCCCTCGGTTTTCTCTGTATAAAATTAGAAATGATATTTGATTCAAAAGAAATGAGATCTAGATCTATGATAAGTTTTTCCTGTCATTAGAAGGCGGTCATCCGTAAAAATGAATTTTAAACAAAGAGTAGATATAACAAGAGACGACACTAGACAAGGAAACCCTCCTCCTAGAGAGAAGAGGACCAATTTAAATGCCCAAATCAAAAGAATCGGGAATGTGCATGCGCACAGTGTATAAGTATGGCGGTCGAAAAAGAATAGTTTAAACCTGCATATTCACCAGTAATTTATTTGCAATAAATATTTTGTCATATCTCTGTAACACATTCTGTAATTTCTTGTGATATATAGTTTTTCATTTTCTTAGAAGTTATTTGTAATAATCATTGAGTAATACGTATTCTTCAAATATATTTTGTAGGGCAATCATTTTTATTCTTTTCTTTTTAAACTTTTCAACGCCGTAAAATTGATAAAAGTACCTCGAAAGACAATATTAGTAATATACAGAAAATTTATTACAAATATATTCCAAATTATTAGGGGTTGACACGAAAGTAGATTTGCTCGATTTAAATTTCCCGCTCGTTTGTACAACTAATTTAAAGGTATAGCGTTTTCGAGAGATCAAACGTGCCGACCGAGAGTGCCTCCGGGAAATTTGTAAATTCGTTTCTGAATTCCTGCATTTACAAATTGCACAATTTCTACATTCTCATATTTCCAAATTTCTAAATTTTAATAATTGAAAGTTTCTCACTTATTAATAATTGAGCAGATTCTAACTTCCCTAATTCCTCAGTTTCATATATAATAAATTTGTAAATTTTTTAACTTAACATGATAGACTAATTAAAATTTATTAGCTTAATTTGTTATACTAATTAAAATTTACTAGCTTAACATGTTGCACTAATTAAATCTACGATTATGTCTTGTCATTTGCATTTAACGAGGAAAAATCCTTTCAAACGTACTTGATCTACATTGTTGCTGTTGGCGGTCATATACACAAGAAATAAATGTAGAACAAGTATGTTATTGCTTTCAAAGATGTTTACTGTAGAAATTAATCAAATGGTTGATATAATGTATAAAATTTGAATATATTTTCATTTGTTTCTCAGTTGTAGTACAATCTTGTACTTTGGGACGTTTATCAAGTTTAAAAATTGTTAAATTTTAATAAGCTTGAAAATTGTCAAATTGTATCAAGTTTGAAAATAATTAAATTTTATCAAGTTTGAAAATTGCTAAATTTTAACAAGCTTGAAAATTGTCAAATTGTATCAAGTTTGAAAATAATTAAATTTTATCAAGTTTGAAAATTGTTAAATTTTATCCAGTTTGAAAATTGTTAAATTCTATCAAATTTGAAAATTGTTAAATTGTAGCAAGTTTGAAAATAATTAAATTTTATCAAGTTTGAAGATTGTGAAATTCTATCAAATTTGAAAATTGTTAAATTGTATCAAGTTTGAAAATAATTAAATTTTATCAAGTTTGAAAATTGTTAAATTTTATCCAGTTTGAAAATTGTTAAATTCTATCAAATTTGAAAATTGTTAAATTGTAGCAAGTTTGAAAATAATTAAATTTTATCAAGTTTGAAGATTGTTAAATTCTATCAAATTTGAAAATTGTTAAATTGTAGCAAGTTTGAAAATAATTAAATTTTATCAAGTTTGAAAATTGTTAAATTTTATCAAGTTTGAAAATAGTTAAATTTTATCAAGTTTGGAAATAATTAAATTTTATCACATTTGCAAATGATTAAATTTATAAATGTACAAATTTCCACAAAAATTCCAAAAAATATTCAACAAACGTAGGGTCCCTAAATCTCTAAATCCGACCCTGTCGAATGAGTGTCCCCAACAAAATGGTGTCCCCAAGAAATCTGAATGCTAAGAAATCACAGGGAATCGGAATCGAGCCTCGATGACGAAAGTAGGCATCGTTCGTGTATGCATCGTGAACGAAAGAATGTCGTCCTGACACATGGTCGATTAAGTAACGAAGAAAACCGAGAAAGACGAGCCGGTAACTCATTACGTGCTTACCGAACGTAAACAGTCATCCAAGTGATGGATTTTGTAAATAACTGTTGCCATTTTGTGAAGCACGCTAAGTGTTACGTTCTGTGTGTCCTTTCTATTAGGAGTTGAATCAATATCTTGTCGGGATTGGTTTTTTTGTGTTTCTGATCGGTGAGAGGGGATTTGGAAATTTTGATGTACTCGGATATTGGGAATTCGGGAATTTGGTGGGATGGGAAATTTGAGGATTTGGGAATTTTGGCAGTTGGTAATTGAGGAATTTGATCATTTGAGAAATTGGGAAATTTTAGGGTTTGGAAATTTGGAGACTCAAATATTAGAATTTGGAAGATTTGGGAATTTGGAGATTTGGAAATTCAAATATTAGAATTTGGAAAATTTGAGAATTGGGAAATTTGGGGTCCCAAATATTAGAATTTAGAAAATTTGAAAATTGGGAGATTTGGAGACTCAAGCATTAGAATTTGGAAAATTTGAGAATTGGGAAATTTGAAGACTCAAATTTTGGAAATTGGAAAATTTGAGAATTGAAAAATTTGGAAACTCAAATATTGGAATTTGGAAAATTTGAGAATTTGGAGATTTGGAGTCTCAAATATTAGAATTTGGAAAATTTGAGAATTGGGAAATTTGAAGACCCAAATATTAAAATTTAGAAAATTTGAGAATTGGGAGATTTTGAGACTCAAGCATTAGAATTTGGAAAATTTGAGAATTGGGAAATTTGGAGACTCAAATTTTGGAATTTGGAAAATTTGAGAATTGCGAAATGTGGAGTCTCAAATATTTGAATTTGGAAAATTTGGAGTCTCAAATTTTGGAATTTGGAAAATTTGAGGATTGGGAAATTTGAAGTCTCAAATATGAGAATTTGGAAAATTTGAGAATTGGGAAATTTGAAGACTCAAATTTTGGAAATTGGAAAATTTGAGAATTGAAAAATTTGGAAACTCAAATATTGGAATTTGGAAAATTTGAGAATTTGGAGATTTGGAGTCTCAAATATTAGAATTTGGAAAATTTGAGAATTTTGAAATTTTGAGAATTTAAAAATTTTGAGCCTCAAACATTGAAAACCTAATAATTTAAAAATTTGATAAGTTTGAAAATTTTTAAAAATATATTTTTCTACAAACTTGAAATGTCGCATCAGAATTTGAATATTCAAATATTATTTATTGTATCTGTATTGTTTCATACATAAAAAAGTTAAGTATTTAATCTTTCAGTATTTGATTTTCACAAGTAGTGAATGAAGCTACGTTTTATAGTTAAATGTCATGCCGTTCATTAAAGAAAACCGTGGCCGTTCGATTTACCTCATTTGCCGCTAGTAGTATAGTCATTGATCTGTCAGACCAGGCGCGACAAGTAGTATATATCCATGTATTATCAGACGGAATTACTTAGCGGCGCACTTATTCACTTATGAAACATACGTTAATCATTTGTAATACTACGTTAATCATTTTAAATATTTTATTAAATATTTAAACATATTCTATATGTATGTACATCTGTGAGTGATTATTAAACCAATTATTAATGTATAAAGTAACTTTAATATGTTATTTTAATATATTAAACATGCTGTATTAATATGCTATTTTTCAATTTAATATATTACTTAATCCTTCTTTAATAACTATTTAATAATCTAAAATTTTTATTTAATTTTTTAAAATATTTCATTTATTGTTATACTTTTCCTATGTACATTTTATTTATTATTATACAATTTTTGTTCTCATTTTTTTTTACTATTAAATTTACATTTTATTAACATTATTTTATTGTTATTTAAATTCACATACTTTATTTTTATTTACTGTTGTGTGTTTTTATACACATCTTATGTTATTTCTGTTATAAACATTTCTTTTATTATTGTATTTTTTATACATACAATTAATTCAATGTCTTTACCTTTTCCCTACAATTTGGAATCTCAACATTTTCCCGCCATTTCTTCAAATTCGAAAAACCATCCACAACTACATTGTTTATTTTGACAAACGAAATTATAAAAATGTTCTCTATTATTGTATTTTTTATACACGTCTTATTTATTTTTATGAACAAATTAATTCAATGTCTTCACCTTCATTGTACAATTTTAAATCTCAACATTTTCCCGCCATTTCTTCAAATTCGAAATATAATGAACAATGACGATGTTCATTTTAACAAACGAAGTTATAAAAATGTCGTCTATCATTGTATTTTTTATACACGTCTTATTTATTCTTATAAACAAATTAATTTAATGTTCTCATCTTCTCCCTACAATTTTGAATCTGAACATTTTCCCGCCCTTTCTTCAAATTCGAAATATAACGAACAATGACAATGTTCATTTTAACAAACGAAGTTACTGCGACGTAGCGAAAGTAAATCCAAGATTTTAACAGCAAAACGATAAATAATTAATGAATTCTTTTTTACTCTTTGCAGAGTAGTACGAGCACGCGAGATTGCGGGACGAACGTCGCGAGAATGATGAGTTCGATGCAAACACAATTGCCCGGCTCGTTGCAGGATTATCAAGTCGATCCTTACCGACTCCTAGAAGACGACCTGAAAGATATCTACGACGATATACGAGAGGTCAGTAGATTTTCATGATCCAACGATCTATTTTAACCGCGATGATATAACGTCGTCGCATTAGTCAGTACACATGTACCTTTTTGTTGTTGCGTTTTGTACGTGCACTTTCTCCATACGGTTGTTTCTCCTTTCGCACACTCGCGAGGCAAGGTGCAAAAACGTGGTAGTCGGATTCCTTAAACGGAAGAGTAATATTCTTTTCACGTTGCCTCTAGCGAGAATTGCTGTGAGAAATTGTGTATTTGGGAAAAGTACACGGTGGGAAGTTGCGTCGTTAATGACTATGTGTAATTTTAAGGTGTGTTGGAGGATTTGAAGGATTTAGGGATTTATTTTTTGCAATAGATTTGTGATTTGTTGGATAATTCAAGTTCCAAATTTTTACGTTTGAAAATTTGTAAATTTTTGAGTTTGTAAATTTCTAAATTTGTGGATTTGTAGATTTGTAAATTTCTAAATTAGTAAATTTGAAAATTTGCAAATTTGGAACTTCTAAATTTCTAAATTAATAAATTTGCAAATTTGTAAATTTGGTACTTCTCAATTTTTAAATTTTCAAGTTATTAAATTAGTAAATTATCATCTCATCAAATTACCAAATTTCCAAATTATTGAATTTAAAAATTTCCAAATTCCCAAATTTTTTTATCTACAAATTTTAGATTTCAATATTTCTAATTTTTATAAATTTTAACTTTTTAATATCAAACAGTTACCATCACCAAATATGTTTTTAACACAGTTATAAATATCTAAGATCAAATAATAAACAAACTGAAAATTATAATTATGAATCCCATTATAATTTTGATTGTTAAGAACAATGACTATTAAAATAGTTTCGAGCACGTCCGTTTCTTGAAACAAAGTTTCTAATTGGTATCCCCGTACAACCAGTCGTATCATGTGATTGCAAAAGCGATAATTTCCCTGAAGTCACTAGAACCATAACACGAAACTCTCACGTTTCTTCGAGGCGAGTCCAGTGCCTCGTTGATGTCGATTTCCTGCTGCCATTTTCGGTGCAAAGCGCACCGATTCGACTCGAATCACCAACTACTTCCGCCGCAACGTTTCAACAGGAAGTGGCAATTGAGATCCGGAAGAAAATTATGCATTATGCTGCGATTAAACAAATTTTTTAATTCTCGTTATTACAAGTTATTGTAATCTGAGTAATTGAGATATTTGTCTGAAGATCTGACCTTATTGTATCGCTATGCGGTTACCTCGCATTATATTGCCATATATCAGATTTACCATCAGATGGATACTTTACTTTACAGTTTCTTAATCTTAAAAATTTTCTAATTTACAAGATTTCTGAATTAATAAAATTTCTTAATTTACAAGATTTTTAAATTTACAAAATTTCTTAATATACAAAATTTATTTTTCGATAAGTTTTCTGTATTTAGACAATTTTAAAACTTGCATAATTTTTGAATCTACAAAATTTCTTAATCTCAATCTTCCATTAAAAATTTTAATTTCTCAACCTTCCACTTTCCACAATTTCTTAATTTGCAAAGTTCTGAACATTCAAACGATCAGACTGAAAGATTCATTAAAAGAAGGCGTTTCTATAAAAATAAATAATAAAGAATTTAGAAAGCGACGCTGCAAACAGACTCCAAATTAGATTATACCTGCAAATCGGTAGTAAAGCATCGTGTCGGCCATGTTGGGGTTAATCGAGCACACGCGTCCGCGTAATCGCATTGCGGATCCAACGTTATCGTGTTTCAAGGCGCGATGAGAAAAAGTGCTTTCTAAACGCGTTTGCACGCGCATACGCAAATACAATAGTAACTAACCACGGTGAGTAAAAGTTCTACTCTCGGCCATATATGCAGACCGTGAAGTCCCGGCTGCTTTCGCTAGCGCGTGAACCACCTCGGGACGCGTCGCTTCGTCGTGAAAACGGAATTCCGCGCCATAAATATTGATAATTACGCGACTAGACATGACCGTTTAGCTTAGACAACGTGTAAACGAGGGAAGAATTCTGACGGCTGCGAGTCTGTCGAGTTTAGTATCGATATCTCGTAATGACGACACTTATGACACTGGTGATGATGATGCTTGATGTAACTAGATACGGAAGAGATTTATTGCTGAATCTTGAGGTGTTATGTATGATCGTCTGGCAGGTGGCAATATAACACGCGGTAATATAACGCTTGGTAAAATAACATGCATTCAGACGGATGGATTAATGTTTGCACGATGGAGTAATGCGTGATGATTTCATATATGCACATCTAACACGTGTAAATGTAATTCGTGGCGATATAACGGGCAGCAATATAACGCGTGGCAAAATAACATGCATTCAGACGGATGGATTAATGTTTGCATGATGGATTAACGCGTGATGATTTAATATATGTACATCTAACTTGTGTAAATGTAATTCAAGGTGATATAACGTGCGGCAATATAACGCGTGGTAAAATAACATGCAATCATGCAGCGAATAATAGACGAGAACGTAACGAATTAATGTGTACGAATTTGACGAGTGTAAATGTAGTACGTGGTAATATAGCATGCGGCAATATAATGCGTGGCAATATAACACATAGTGATTCAATGTGTGGAGGTGCGTGAAGATTTATCGTGTGGAGATGCATGAAGATTTATCGTGTGGAGATACAATTTAGATGTAGTGAATAGAATTGTAACTTGTGGCAATATAACAAGTGGCAATATAACGCGTTGTTATATAATGTGTAATAGTCTAACGCATATCACTACACGGCATGAAGATTTAATGCGCAATAATATGTAGAAATATATTGCATTGGAATATATCATGTGACAGTATCACATATTGCAATATATCACGCGGTAATATAATACTGCACCATACAGCACGATATGGAAACCTAACACAACTCTACAGAACAGTTATAATAGCGCAACAGTAAAATCGTACAATAACTAAGAATAGTAAATTATAAAAGTGTAAATTAATAAAAAAAAATCGTAGAATGATATAACAGTAAATATGACAAGAAAAAAAGCCACTTAAATGGCAAAATAACTAGAGCTTTAATCTCCGATCCATTAATCAAGTGTTAACGGTAAGAAGGAAATACCAAGCACGCATTCTCTATAACGAATTAATAAAATCATTCGAGCAGGTGATTCTGTAATTATTTCGAGAAGCGTACTAGCGTTCCCGTTTACAGTTAGAAGGACGTACAATTAAGCGTTTCCTGATGCATCGCTTTGGTATCGTGGCTTCCGATCACGTGGTTACAGCCAGACGTCCAGAAAGTGTCTCTGACGTAAGCTTGCGAAACGAGCTAGTAACAAAGTGTTCCTTTCGACTTTGGCCAAATTCCAGGACGAACTTTCAGCCGATGTCACGGCTGGAATTCAAAGCGTGCTGCCTATAACGCCATTGCTCTCCTCTTTTTCTATCGCTCTTGCAACGAACGGTTTCCATCGTCACGTATGCGAATCGTCATCGTCATTATGGGCATCCATTGCCTATAGAAATTGCTCTTGATCAGCTGCTCGGGAATAAAATATGTAACGCCTGCATTGAATTCGAACAATATGCGTGCTGGATTCGGTATGTGGCAGGTGAAACGGTATCTGGGCTCGCTGTTCTAATGCCGCCGCCATTTTATTGAATGAAGTTCGAGTAACTGGACTGCAACCAGTTCTGATACTCGCTTTTTCGTTCGGTTTATTGCTGGAGATAATTTACTTTCAATAAATATTGATAATAGGATGATTAGAGGAGTCTTTTTATGTTTTATAGCTTCAGAGGTTTCGTTCGGTGGAAATTTATAGGGTAGTCTCGTTATATTGCCGTGAACGGGGAGACCATATACAGGGAACTTTTTCATTAGTGTTCCATCAATAAAAATTTCATTTTTTAAATTTAAAAATGTGCAAATTTAATGATATACAGGATTGAAAATTCAAAAATGTGAAAAATTAAAAGTTTGCAAATCTGATAGTTGAAAAAAATTAATAGATAAAAAGTATTGAGTAGATAGTACATTAACAATGTAGCTAGATGAGTTGCAACAATTTTTTGTTTATAATTCTCATTATACTATGGTTCTAAATATGATCGTTCACATTATGTTGGTCAAAGTGCTAATTTCGCTTACGTAGTACTAACAAGGGGAATCCCGAGCTTGGATATTCCAAATGTTAAAATTTTATAACTATACTGGAAATATCCTAATTATAACTAAATCCATTTTCACTGTTAAAAATGGTGAAGATCCACCATTTTTTATTCCGCTTTGATATTTTTATTTCCGGAGACTACACAGGAATAAAACGTTTAACATCTTAATTAATAACCGATACGACATTGATATTGACAAGTAAGAAATGCATAAGTTATACTTCGTTCAATAAGTCATCCTTCATACTGAAAATAACTGGATTCTCCTTCGACGTACTAATTACAGATTTCCTCGATAATGAACGTGTACCGGTACGAACGCAAATTAAACCGCACGATCATTAATTAAACGTTTCTCGTTTGTAGTTCAAACTTCTCCATGCATATAACTAACGTAATATTTAAATTGGGTCTTTAGAATGTCTAAAATCAGCTACCGAAGTTAAAAATAGGATTACAGGAATGTGATTTCTCGTTCGGGTGCAACGCCCAAAGAGTGCTCATTGAAATTCTCACACCCTCACTTTGTCTACAACACTCGGAGAATACCTGTAGGAGAGAAATCAGAATTTAGGAACGGTTTTAGATCAATACTTAGTTACGCGCCTTTTGAATATCAATCATCTAACTTTCTGATCCATTGCATTCTCGAGCTACTCAGCCTTACTGTCTAAACATACGCAATTACTTCCAGTTTAACAATATCAAATACTTTCTATCGACGTTTACATGCTTTTGCTTGTTAATTTTATATAATGCTATTAGATATGCTGTTATAGTAACACACACTTTTGCTGCCTACACACACTTGTGATACTTTTATAGTTTTATTGTGAATTAGGTATCAAAGCTTGCAGTTATTTTTATTCTCAATAAGAAACGATTATTGAACGTTTCAATCAATGTTATCAGATCGTAGATATCCCTCGATCTTTACATCCCTATGTTTTTATATCCCTTGATCCTTAGATCGCAGGTATCCCAATATCTCTCGATTCCGATATTCCTAGATCTCAATATCTTTACATCCAAATATTCCTAGATCTCAATATCCTTACATCCAAATATCCCTAGATTCCAATATCCTTAGATCCAAATATCTCTTGATTCCAATATCCCTAGTTCCAAATATTCCTACATCCAAATATCCCTAGATCCCAGTATCCCTCGATTTCAATATCCTTAAATTCCAATATTCTTAGATCCAATTATCCCTAGATTCCAATATCCGTACGTCCCAGATATCCCCAGATTCCAAGTATCACTAGATTCCAATATCCCTAGATCCCAAAATCCTTAGATCCCATTATTCCAATATTCCTAGATCCCTAGATCCCTAGATTTCAGTATTCCAATATTCCAATATCCCTAGATCCCAATATTCCTACATCCCAATATCCCTAGATTCAAAAATTCTTAGATCCCAAAATCCCTAAATCCCTAAATCCCTAAATCCCTAAATCCCAAAATCCCTAAATCCCAAAATCCTTAGATTCCAATATCCCTGGATCTCAAAATCCTTAGATTCCAATATCCCTGGATCTCAAAATCCTTAGATTCCAATATCCTTAGATCCTAAAATCCTTAGATTCCAATATCCCTAAACCCCAAAATTCTTAGATTCCAATATCCCTGGATCTCAAAATCCTTAGATTCCAATATCCCTGGATCTCAAAATCCTTAGATTCCAATATCCCTGGATCTCAAAATCCTTAGATTCCAATATCCCTGGATCTCAAAATCCTTAGATTCCAATATCCCTGGATCTCAAAATCCTTAGATTCCAATATCTGGATCTCAAAATCCTTAGATT